GTGTAAAAATATAATAATTTCTTCATATTGAAATTATCATAGAATGTCATGGAAATGGAATATTTTTTCTCAAAAATGATCGATTTAACTACTTTCGGAATTATTATGTATATTATCACTGTAACTATTTTAAACAATATCATCGTGTTTTCAAATAGCGATGTCAATAATAAAAATAAATTAAACTTCATAATATATCACATAATCGTTAATCTCTAGAGAAACAATGAAGCGGTAATAGTGCATTCACTATCATTTTCACTATTTAAAGAAGAAAAGAGACAATCTGTTACATAGTATAATCATGTTCGTAAAATCCTAGTTTTATTTTTCACACCTATAAAATGAGGGATTGTTTTTATTAAATTTGATTAAACAAGCATATTTTATTAAAAATAAAATTTATGAGATTTATTAATGAATAGAAAATCATTATTATTATTATTATTATTCGAGTAATTAATAAACGATTGTTGCACAGACAAAATGAAATTATTAAGCAAAACTATCAAGATCACTGTCAAACTTATATTCCTCTATAAAATGTAGAAGACATGGAAAACAGATTTTCTTTAGTTTATTTAAAATAACTAAACCATCAACGGAAAAAATGTTTAAATATTTAAAGAATATTTTAGCATTTTATAAATCTTTTATTCAGCATGGATTCCAGAACACTGTATACATGAATATATCATATTTGATGCAGTATACCAGAAATTATCAGAATTCAATTGAATATCTTATACTGTTTTATACTCATGACAACTATAAAGAATAATGGTTTATTGATAAACGCTATTACAATCGCTACTTAAGTATAATAAATCAGTAGTTCTGCTTTAGAAAGTACCTACATCATTATTTAAATAATTTAATCAAGGCAGTAAAACAATCGAAGACTAATGTTAAGTATTTCATTAAAATGTTTAAATCTCTTATTTGATGGAGTATTTTTCTTAGATTAATTAACAAAACCATTATATTATTACTTCAAGAAATAATTAGATAACTTTATCTAAAGACTCTTTTTTTTTAACAACGGAGAAAAATAATTCCTTCCTTTTGTTAGTGACAAATTGTACATATGCAGATGAAAGGAAATCCTGTGCTCTGTTAATCAGTGTTTGGACAAGAAAAATTACACAAGAACTATACAGATTGACCCGTTTCGTCGTAAATAAGCGAAAAAGAAGGCGAACAAATTTTTCGTTTGTATATAGAACTTGCAGCCAAAATAAATGCATATAGAATTATTTGTACATTGTTGACCGTATACCTATGTTTGCCTAAAATTATTTTTTACAATTTCCTAACGAATCCCATATTTTAAAATTTGTTGCTCGTACACCAAACTTAAGTACATAAATTTATCTGTCAGTGAATTCAGAAAGATTTCATACATACACATAGTCAACACATATTTTGTACAAACATTTTTTTTAGAGTAGGTAGGTATTGCGCCACGACAGAGTTGTGTCACCTCTCCACTTTTTATATTCGATTTATCCATAAGAAATTTATAAAAATAGTTAAATATTTTCGCAAACGCTACTACTACAGTTAATAGCTACTAAATATTAATAATACTTTGTAATAAAAGGCAGGGAATTCTCATTTAAAAGTCTTCTCGGCAATATCTTATCTGGCAGCATCACATTAATAGCAGTTCATAATGTACACACCAAAAAGTTTAAATAAGTAACACCATGTGTATATGAAATTTAATAAAAAAAAAAAAAAAAATGAACTGGAAGTTTGAAATAATTTTTAATAATTATTTTCAAGAGAAATAACATAGAAGTCTTTGTTATGAAATTAATTTGATTTGATCTTAATATAAACTCATCTATGTGTGATCTATACCGCATTTCCAGGAAACTACTGGAAGAGGTTTATGTCCAACAGTAGATGAATGCAGAAATGTATTCCGATTCTAAATATGTAGGCCATTATTAATAATGAATGAAAATTGATGTTAGTAACTAAATATATTATACCTAAATCAATAAATTTTTACCTAATAGGTAAAGTCTGATTCGTCCCCTTTGAGAGTATTTATATAGACTTTTAAAAATCTCATTTTTATCCTGAAATTTTGAATAATATTCTATCAAAAAAAGATTCATACAATCTCGAAAATAAACAAAGTATTTGTACAATATAATAAAATGGTTAACAAGAGATGACATTTTTAATGTTTTGTGTTACTACCGATAAGAAATCTTTTGGAGAAGAAATTTTACATTATCTGTTATAAAATATATGTTATTCATTGCTTTTTATGCGAAGTCAATTATTAATATTATCACTTTTTGAAGCGTTTCGTATTACTTATTAGGTCGAAATTAAAAATTTGTGCAGAGTGTCATCTATAGTGAGGCAGTAGCTACCTTAAGTTGATCTAAATGCTGATTTATCCGGTAAATTTTACAATAACCTAGACCGCTTAATCTGGAATCATTTTGCCAAATATTCAAAAGGAGTAAAACAAAGGGAACGTTCATTTATTTACTGGAAAGTAATTTAACTAGTAGATAAGGTAGGAGCTCGGAAATATTTGCGCAAACTTCCAAAGTCAAAAATTTTCCTTGTTTTAACGATTTATACTAAGTATGATTATTTAAAAAAGTTTACCACATATTCCCAATTATACAATGTTTAAAACTGATATTGAACATGGAGCTGTGAATAAAACAATATCTTGATTGAAACCAACAAGATGATTGAAGAAGAGGCTGGATTAAAAATTCCTTAAAAAACAAGGCAAATGAAAATATGGTTAGAACTCCATGTTGTGAACGTTATAATAAATCTCAAGATGCTTAAAAACGATAAAAAATTAAAAATCTATTGACAGTATTATTGGGAAATTGCAAATACGGCAATGGACCTAAAGGTAATGCACCATGGTGCCCCTGACCAAGTAACGGAAGTTCAAAGTGTGACGTCACAGGATGAATTGAAAAATATAAAAATTAAATCATTATACATCTTAAGATTTGCTTAGTGTTCTAAAATGAGCAGGTTTTGGAATATGTTAGGAGTAAAAAAATTCAGGAAACGCGATATATGATGAAAATATGTAATTATTATTTACCAACGATTTAAAAACTTTTTACAAAGATTATAAATGGTATTCATCGATAACCAAAACATAGTTTGGCTTTGAACATTTCTAAAAACATTTCCGAGTTCCTATAAATTCAAAATCAACAAAAATCTCAGTCTGTTCCAACTGTAAAGTTATCGTCATATATTTAAATCTGTAAAATGTAATATTATAAAAAGTTTATATCTGTAACCATTATGCTTGTATTAGGACTATAAAAATACTGAAAAACCGGGGATCTTATGAGATCAAAAATATATCTGTTGAACAAAATACTGTAGCTATATATAATCTGTATACTGTACAAACTGTTCATAAAAAATCACAAGTATCGCAGTTGAAAGTAATTGCATATCATTCTTTTCAGTACAAGGTTCGTCTACTGGAGAATTTTGCACTGAAACCGGAAGATGATAAGTTGGAGTGAACAAAAAACCTTTGTATATAGAATATTGAGTAAATATTTGGTAAAAAATCTGTATATCTGAGGAACTGTATAAAGTGGTATCAGTAAAAGAAAAAGTTGTAGTTAAAATATCTATATGTTGGAACGTTGGCAATATGATATATCAGTCTTATAATAGACAAATTCCGAGTGAATATCCTTCGAAAGGAGTATGTACATGTTTAGGCTAATAAAATTGGATCCGCAAAACTTATACTAAATCCGGCAGTTTTAAAACAGTCACAGAAATGTGTCTTAAGGCGTATTGTTATACGTCAAAAATTATAATTGGACGTTATGGATCATTGCCATTATGGAAAATACATACACTTAAAAATTGTCCGTTTTACTATTACAAATTGTAACTTTGCAAGTTTTTCGTAGGATCTTCTTGGATTTTTATAGAAAATTACAATAAATAATTGCAAATTTCTACTTATCTTTAAAAATGTACATATTTTTGAAAACTTCACAAAAGTCAACAGAAAGCCTAAATAACGTTTCCGAAACGTTTTAAAATATCCGGAATTTTACAGTTGCTACTTTTTTGTTTCAACTCGGAATTTGAAAAACTCTCTTTCGTTAATACCGGAAAATTATGAAAATCAGGAAGCACGATAGCTTAGTCTAATCAATAAACATCAACCAACAGTTTGCCACGATTTTATTCGTGGTTCACCAAAACAAAATCATCAATAAATTTTAACAGAACGGTCCCAACTTGACCCTTTTAGCGCCTTTTCATACAAACTTCTACTCACACTATATTTTCTAATATTGCCCCTATTTTTTTATATCTTCATTTGGAACTTGATCCCACGCGGAAATATAATAGACCAAGGAAAACATAATATTATAACGAATGGTTTGGTGCTACCATCTATCAGTAACGAGTAAAAGCAACCATTATGATTTTTATTCGCGGATGATAGATTGAAACACTGGTTCTTCCAGAAAATAATTAGTTACATTAATAAAGTTTTGAAGTGTTTGCAGTACGTTAACGTATACATAAACGCACAAAAATAATGTTTCGTTAAAGTCCAACGATAATTAATATTAGGATGTATTCTTTTCCAGATCCTGGAAGCTCACGTTTGTACATAAACGTGAAGAATATTTTAAATACACATGCATAGCCGTCAATTTTCATGATTAGGTACGTTTACGTTCATAGCACTACTTCAAATCTCTAATAATAAAAAATCATGATTGAATTCTACATCCTAAATAGTCTTTATACAATTTTGTTACTTTTTGCAATATTTTTTTTTGTGTGAAAAATATCAATTCAACTAAAACTTTAATTTTATCTTTTATTTAATTAAAACTACCAGAAATAATCAAGAGTATTTAAGATATTACTAATAAAACTAAGAAATATAATACATCAAAAATTCCGTTGAAGATCCTATTAATGTATTAGATAAGAATTCGTTTGAAGACAGGAAAATTATTGCATCAGAGATGAAGATAGCCAATAAGAAAGAAAAAAGTTTTTTAAGATAAATTATTGCGCACGATGATAAGAGGCGATTTAATGTGTATAAATATTGTATTAAGATTATCGGTCTCACAAATAGTGGTAGGTGACAAAACGTAGGCAGAAATCAGAGAGAAAGACCAGGTGGTAGAGGTTAAATGTATTATATAGAATTTAACGTAAAATGCTCAATAAGATAGTGTAGGATGAAAAGTTTGCTGAGGAAATATAAAAAAAAATGGATCAAGTAATACCTTTCTATACACAGAAATATCGTGATTATCAGAAGGGAAAGGACAGGTTTAAAAAATATGAAAGGCTTTATGATACTTTATGTATAAGATGTCTAGAATGATTAAAAACAGAGACTTTGTCCAAAAATCTATTTAGATGGAGCAATGTGGGTTCTCTTTTGAATAATGGTGTAAATAATTACTGTTTATATTTTTTTAAACTATGATAATAACAGAAAACACTTTTCGCTATGATATATTTAATCAGAACTAAAAAAGGACAACGAGCATTTGGAGCAGCGGGGATAGTAACATTTCACAGAATTTTTTGATAATATAAAAAAGTGGAATGTAAAAATATATTACTATCAATATATTTATCAGTTAATGTCTTCTTTCAATCAACTGGTTTACATCTTTTTTTGAGTTGCTATGACTTTATTTGGCATAGTTTTACCAAATGCACTATTTTTTTATAAATTATATATTTTTTAATATATTTTAAATGCATAACTTATTACTTTATTTTTTTTTTTGTTGCAAGTAGAGACGGATGCAAAATTAAGGAAACTATATACTTTCATTTTCCTTTTGTTAAAATAATTTAAAATGATTTTACGATTTGTACATTTCCATGTAGGATCAAGTCCCCAACGAATTACAGATTTTGGACGATTAATCTGTTAACACCTAAATAACACCTAATCCTGTCCGTTTTGTTGTACTAATTCCCGTCTATCCTCGACGGATAGCGATGGTGGTCGGAATATATCTTGCTCGTCGCTTAAATCTTTCCCCCTTTCCTTACTGTCTTCTTCCATGGCCTGCTGTTGTCCAAAGTGTTCCCTACTTTTCTCGCTTTGGGGCAACAAGTGGATCATACTCACAGGTATGGGAAATCCCGTACCGAAGTCGGGATAGAAATTGTGTGTAAAAGGGTTGAACATGGAAGGTTGGGGATGCTGATCTTCCGTACTAGGCGGCCTGGTGTTGGGTTGGATCTGTTCAGACTCTCTCTCAGGCTTGCAGGGATTGTTATTATTGTTGTTTCCTCCCATATTGAGGATGTCGATTGGAGGATTTGGACCTCCGATACAGTCTTTTCGAAGTTGTTCTAATTTAAGGCTTTTTCCGTACTTCCCTCTGACGTACATCAGGAGAGAGTTGTAGGGGATGCCGAATATCCTGGACGCTTGGCTTGTGGTCATCTTTTTGTTCCATACGTGTTGGAGGGCTTCAGTCAGTTCGGCGTTGGTCCAAGACCTGGGTGGACCGCCTCTTGGAGCGGAATGTTGACCTTTTGGTCGTCCCACTGAAAATAATTATAAATTATTTATTTAAATTCCACGAGGTTTTGAAGTAATTCACTTATTTACAGAACTTCGGCGAGCTTCATGGCTCAACAATAAACATAGGGGGTGGGTTGGCTCAGAGTCATGACTTTGAGATTGAAAGGTCTCAGGATCGAATCCCACCGGTGGCAGGATTTTTTATTTAGTAAAAAAAATTAAATGTTAATTCTAATGCATAGGTAGGATTCCCCACTCGATCATTCACTGTTGGGTTCTAATTAACAGTTCTGTTCCTGAAGTGACGCTGGGAAACAGTAACAAAGCCTTCACAGAACATACTTGAAAAAAAAAGGCAAACACAAACTGAGACTGGCATATTAGGTATATACACCTAGGCCTAGCATAGCAGTTTATTACGTTACTGTGAAGATGATTTTTTAATGAATAATACATTTTTTATTGATATTTGGACTCAAATTTAAAGAGAAAAGGCTAAAAAAAATATAGGCGGAAATATGGTATGATTTTGAATAACCCAAAAGCTTCTTTATTAATTGATTAGACATACGTTCCATTAGAAACACTGCATTATCTCGAGTCTACTGTATGTCTATCTGATAAAATTTTAAAGGTAAAATAGCTAAAGTCAAGTTATATATAGATACTCACTTTTCTTTTTTACGAACATTTGGGAATCCGGTGTCGTCCTGGGATCCGGCATATCAAATAAAGGATTCCTACAACCTTCCAATCCTGGGGGAAATAGACCTAAAGATGAGTCTAGGCCAAAAACTGAAATATAAAATCCTCAATTATTTAGTGCAATTCCATTACATAATTTATGTTGTCTCATTTTAATGTGCGAGACAATAAATATTCTCATATAAAATTATGATGTCACAGGCCGTTTAATAATATAGCGTAGAATGAAATACATTATGGCTATTTTCGGATAGATAATGAAACAATTGCTACATAATAAATAGAATTATGGAAAACAGTTTAGTAAATAAGTATATTACTGTTATATTCTTGATATATGAAATAAATCAAATCCGTTAAAATATTTCCTCGTCTAATAGTTGAAATTTTAGTATGGAACAAATTTATAAATAAGATAATAATATATGCTTAATTTTAACCAAATGCCTTTGGGGATCAAAAAGAAAATAGTGGGTGGAGATAATTTTAGTAGCAATATTGCACAGTGATGCACTAAAAACGTTTTTAATGCTGAAATTAATAATAATATGCTTAAGAAGTAACTATGATTTATTGTTTACTATGTATTGATATTTACAAAGAAGATATAATAATTATTAAAATATTTTATTTATTCCTTTTTAATGGTGAAAAATATAAATTATAAAAACAATTTTAATATTTAATATTGGTATAAATTATTATCAAAGGACTGGTAGCAAAATATTAACGAAAAAATAAGAAGACTGTCATTATAAAATTATTAAAATATTATTAGTCTTTACATGATTCCTTAGATTAGTGAATTAGTTAGGATACTCTTTAAAACAAAGAAATTTATTTAAATATTAAAAAACTTTTTGTCTATAGTTCGCTACACACTGAGAGTGCAGTATGGCCAGGCATAGGCAATGTATTTCTAATAGTATACCGGCACAAGGTGTTGCCGTCTTTCCGATAGCTGTGAAAGGGTCGGCCCAGTAGTAGTCAATGTTTTTAGAGCATTTATTCTGGGTTGCATATATGAGGACCTTTTAGTCCTTATTGATATCTCATTGGACGGCTTGCTGCAGAATTTGTGATTTTTAGACTTTCGCATAATGTTGCATTAATAACCGTAATCTTTACTGCAAAAAAGATCCAGGCCACAATCTGGTATCTAGTGTTATTTGTTAGCTAATGAACAAACTGACTAAATTGGTTAAGCAAGTAACCTGCCTGCAGAAGCAATTCAAACGGCTTCGTTGCTGTGTGCATAATACGCGTGTTTAGTGAAAACGTCACAGGTTTAGGAAGGTCATAGCAATGGATGCCAACAAAGGAACCATACTGTGAGCTGTCGTTAACGTCCATAAGAATAACGCAGTGGTCATTGAAATTATTGGAGCATAATTTTTAAAATTAAAGCCTACTCAAACCCTGATTTTTGAAGTGGATATAATTTAATTAATTGACACATTGAAAGTTTATAAACGATAAATTTATAAACTTTACATGTAATTCTATCGGTGTCATATTTTTTTTTTTTAGGAAAAATTCTATTTCAACGATTTGAGAAACTTAACCTTTCCTGATTTTGAGAGTGAACGTAATTTAATATTCACAAGATAAATCAATGCCTGGGTCCATCCAGAAAACAAGCAGGTGAGACATATATCGAGGACCACAAGGTAGGACCTCGTAAGCCGCAAAATCCACATCCACGAAAAAAAAATGTTTTATAATAGGACTAATATTTACCAATGTTTTTTTCAAAAATTGTAATATTTCCCCTATACAGTAGATGTGGAGCGAAATATTTTTAACGAGATTATTATATCACTTTCAGTGAAAATGTTAGTTACGAGGTTCTGCAATGTGGCCCTGGATATAAGGTCTCAGTTATTATATGTTACTAGGAAGTAGAATGTGAACTTTATTGTTCTGCTTATGGAATTAATAGCATATTTTGATCCCCTTAAAGAAAAATATTTTTTTTTTAGATTTTGTTATAATCAAAGCTGAAAAAATTTATTAAAAATTAGTGGAGAGGTCATAGGAAATGATGAGGACTATGTCTCTGCAGTTTTCTTAGGCACATATTTGTGAAAATTATATATTAAATATTCGAAAGGTTACTCTGTTCTGCAAGATAAATAAACAAATAAAAATGCGAGCTCAACCAGATCGAGATGATATGGAATCAGGTAAACTATATTACTGTGAACAACTTTGATTTCAAGACACAAAATGTTCGTTCATTGATAGATGAAGCATTTGAATAGAATTGGCGTAATTACGTTGCACATACAAATTTTGAGATGAATTTTAAACCCGTGTCGAAATTTGCCTGAGACCGGACCTGTTTCTTTGCCGATCTCAGCATAGCGACGCCTGGCACTGGTTGGCAATGGCGCCAATCTAGTACAATTGTACTAGATTTAGTACATTTCTGAGAATCTGATACTCTAGTACACTCGAAGCAAAATCTAGTACGTTTTTCAGCGCATGTTCCATTTGAATTGTAAAATATATTGTTCAAAAATTGCCAGAGAAATTAAAATAGTTTTAAAAATTGCTTCAGAGATAAAATAGTAGACATTTCTCGAGAGATAAAACATTGTTCAACAATTGCTCGAGACATCAAATATTGTTTAAAAATAGCTTGAGAAGTATAAAAAGGGTGTTAAAAATTGGTCAAAGGATAAAATAGTATTAGAAATTACTTGAGTAAAGTATTGTTCAAAAATTGCTCGAGGGATAAAATACTGTTGAAAAATTTGTTGAGAAATAAAATATTGTTCAAAATTGACTCTAGAGATACTGTTAGAAATTTCTAAAGAGATAAAACATTGTTTAAAGATTTCTCGAACGATAAAATACTATTAGAAATTGCTCAAAAGATAATATATTGTTCAAACATTGCTCGAGAGATAAAAAAAGTTGTTAAAAATTGCTCGAGAAATAGAATAATGTTAGAAATTTATCTAAAAATAAAATATTTTTTAAAAATAGCTCAAGAGATAAAAAAAGGTTTAAAAAATTATTGTGTTCGTGTTCTCTATAAACCTTTTTTGCTCTTTAATGACCACACTTCACAATTAGAAAAATCTGGCAACTTTATAGAATCTAGTACATTTTTATGTAATCTGGTACATTTTTTAGACAAATCTGGTACATTACAAAAATATATTCTGGCAACACTGAATGGCGCGCTTCATAAGACTTCACACTGCATTCTCAGTGTGTCTGGCACTATAAAATGAGTAAATAATTGCATGAACAAGAATAATTTCCATCTTTTGGTGCAGTCAATATAATGTAATACCTAGCAACTTATAACACTAGAAAATAAGATATTAGGTGAGCCGTATTGAGTAGACACATATTGAATACTTAAAGAAAAATTTAGTAAAATATCAAGTTTTTAATCCATTTACAAATTAAAAATTATCGAATATTGTTGCAGTCTGTAGCCTTCAATTGTAAGATATTTTATTGGAGACTTTCTTCTAAAAACAACACTTGTCACAAAATACACAAAAATAAGTTGGGCACTATCTAGAAGTGAAAAGTTTCCATATGAGAGGTTTTTTCATGCAAAAAGAACACATATACCCTATATAGTTAGACTGTTAAAAATCTATAAAAATATCTAATTTTTTCTTTTAATATATAACAGATATTTTCCTTTCACAACTCCAGAAATACATAGATAACTGAATGTAAAAAGTAATTTAAATGGACCATTGCTTTCGAGAGTATACTAACATTGTGGTAATGTTTTTCAGCATTCTGAAACATTTTGGATACGTATTCTTTTTTCAAGAAGTCTTCAATTGGTCTTTACTTTTTAATAAATTGGATATTCAACGTTCTATTGATTGAACACATCTTAACAAAGTAAGTAAGTAATAATTGATTTTTTTTTTAGAAATTAGAAGTCTTTTAATTATGACGTTTGTATGCAAATTACTTTCCCTTAATCAAATAAATCATTGACCATGTTGATTTTTTCTATTATTTAATAATATTACGTTTTAAGATATCAGTGGCGTAACAAATAGACTAGAATCATTCGAAATCGATGCAGTTTTTTTGCTGATTTTAATAATTTTGTGATACTAGATACTCAGTTGTTTTTTATATTCTTGTGACTCCTATATATTTTTTTGTTAAATAATATGTAATATAATAAAGAATACTAAATAAAAATGTAAAATACATTATTTAGGTGTCAATTAGTTTCGGCTATGTAATACAAAATTGTCATTTTTTAATATTATTTATATTTTATATGCTTATGTTTTAAATATTTATATTTTAAACATTTACATTTTATTTTATACATATACACTTGCGTGCATAGAAATCGGCCCACTGTAAACTTTTGACTTTAATTATATTTTTTTAAATTATTCATCAGATCAAAAAAAAAATATGCCCTTTGAAAGACAATTTAATATGCTTTAATGTTGTCTAATAATTAATTAATAACAGTAATGTTATTTAATAATTAAAAAAAAAATATAGTTAAAGTCAAAAGTTTTACAGTGGGCCGATTTCTATGCACGCAAGTATATTAATATTCTACAACTGAAAATTCTGTATTACAGACTTTATGATGGCCACATAGCCGAAACTGGTTACAAATTATTTCTTTTATAATTAACTTTTTATTATTTGGTATTAATTTGGGATTTCCTTTGTTTTATTGAATAACGTTATATCATTTGAGATTATGGATAATCTTTTTTTTATAATATATATAAAACAAATACCGCATATTGTAGATTCATCGAATAGAAGATGGAAATTAGTTTTTAAATCAAAATTGACTAATACGAGGGGTCATTTTTATAGACTAGATATGAATATAAAGAGCTAAAACAAGAACAAATTATGTCTTTCAATGTAGTTGTTATCCTGTTTATGAATATAAACTGAGAGCTAGCAGCCGTAAAATGGTACGCTCGTAACTCTGGCTGGAATTTTGTGAATTGGTAGGAAGTATCATCCGCAAGGCTTTTGTTTAAAACTCCTGAAAACGAGGCGTCAGACAACTCAAAGTAGTAAAAAGTATCGACAAAAAACACATATTTGATTAGATAACTCACTTAACATGTCTTGTTAGCTCAGTTTTTTAAGCATTTGAAAAATATGAAAAAAAAAATACATACTATTGTTATTTAGTTTAAATACATTTTATTTATCATAATAATAAGAACTGTTAGTGTTTATTTATTTTAAATACATTTTTGTTTAGCCTTATAATAATTGTATTGTCAATATGATAAATAAAATGTATTTTAATAAATAATGAACAATAGTACATTTTTTTTTAATTTTCATATTTTTGTTCCAAAATAAAAAAAAGATTGCATTTATCGTGAATTGAACCAGGTCGCGAAATGTAAATTTGACTGCATGTACAATGCTTAACAAACTGGGCTAACAAAACATGACAAGTGAGTTATCTAATCAAATATGTGTATTATAAATGTAAACAAAAAATTACAATTTTAAGTCGTCTGACGTTTCGTTTGCAGATGATATTTCCTGATGGTCCCGCCTACCAATTCACAAAATTTCAGCCGGAGTTACGGTCGTACTACCTTGTGCCCGTTAGCTCTTGGACTAATAATAATTTAACCGATTCGAAAACAACTTTTTAATCCATTATATAAATATCCTTCTGTCTTGTCGCAAAATGGCGTTCAACAGCATTTACAAGTTGTCCCCTGTAGAGTTTTTCTTGAGAATTGGAAACAAAGACATAGACACAGCGACCCAGATAAGGAAAACGGTTGGTTTCTACGAAACAACATTCGTCAATGGCAGCTTTTGAAACACTTGATTTGTACACTGGTGCATTGCTGTTTTACAACAGGAGACCTTTCGTCAGTTATCCTCGCTTTTTTATTTTGATTAACTCTATGAGGTGATGTATTAAGCTTTCATAATTTTTCCAAATACCATTATACCCTTATTCAAATAAGGTAAACTAAAATTCCTTGTCCATCCCAAAAAACGGGTTGCCATTAGTTTTGCTGCAGAAAGGGGATTTTTAACCATTTCTGTCATTGCTTCGATTCTTGTTTCGATTCAGAATCAAAATAATGGAACCAAATGTCATATTTAGAGCGTCAAAAATTGTGTACTTAACTGTACCCGGACAAGCATTTGAAAAAAGCGAAAGCGCACTCGCGGCCATCTCGCACAAACATTTGCCAGTCCAAGGCAAGGCATTCTAACATCCTCCAGTACCAAATAATTAGCTTCTTTAATCTGATGTGATCACGCCAATATAGCACTATTACTTAGGTTAAGGTCCGTTATTTATCGAAATGTCGGTTACTCGGTCCAAAACTAACCGCTATGCTTGACATTCCAGAAAAATCGGTTAAATTAGAGACTCGGTTACCTGAAAATGGTGACACAAATGTCAATTCACTTTTTTGCGGTTACCATTAGGTCGAATGTCATTCTCTCACAAACTTGACGCAACTGTCAGCCATGGTCCAAAAGTAACCAACAAATTAGTTTTTTTCAGGAACCGCTGTTAAAAAATCCTGGTTAGTTGCCGGTAGTGGTCGGTTAATATCGAACCATACCCTTAGTGATTCCAGACCATGTTTTTACAATTTTGACAGTTCTCAAATAATTGACTTAGAAGGGCACAATCATCTCAGTACATAGATGTCATTTCTCAAAAACAATTTTCGGTGTTTTTCCTTGTTTTGTAAGGAATTTTTTAACAGCTTGACTTGTCTTTGGGTCCGTTGTTAAGTGACAACACGTACTATTCTGACAGATACTAGAATTAATATTGGAGCAATTGTTTCGTTACTTGTCACACACATTACCAAGGCATAAGTGAATAAAAAATATAATAATTGTATTCAAATAAAAAATGTCTAGTAGGGAGATATGAAATAGACCCCTGGCATGTTTGAGCAAAAAAAACAAAAATTTCAATTTTCTTTCTCAGTACTTACACTTACTATGAGGCGGCGTCATGGTTAGCGCTGAAACAGACGGCATGGGCGGAAACGGCAAAGGAGAATGACTTTCAATTTCTTGCTTCATATTCATTATCGGATGCATATTTACAGGTGAACTTCGAAAATCCTTTTGGCTGGGTAAGCTCAAATCCATCTCTGGACTACCCACACTGGTTTCCGGTGTCCTACTCTTTTCCTGCATTAACAATAAACATTTTAACAATATAATAAAAGCAATAGAAGTTTTAAAATTTATTTAATTTATTCCCATCCCGAAATAACCAGCTTGTTCCATTAAAGAAGAGTACATATGCGTCAAAAAAAGATATCACACGCGCAGAATAGTTATTTATGCAACAAGTGCAACAAGTAAGTGTTGTCCAACTCGGCCTGACGGCCTTGTCGCGTGCAATAAACACTTTTTGCACGAGTTGCATACAATATTTTTTCTACGTCCATGCAAAAACCAAAAAATGTTTTATTTAGGCGACACTAAGTGCAGAAGAATAAAAAGCGTAATTTAATAGCAAAATATTTATTAATTTATTTATTAAATGATTGAAAATAATATAAAATATGCAATTGTTTTTAAAACGTAATACAATCTCACAGAAAATGAAAATGGACTAAATATTTGGCGTAGATTTGAATATTTATGTTTGTCATGATCATAAAACGCTGTAGTAAAATGACAGATGAGTGCAATAAATTTTTTGTTGCACCAGTGCAATACAGAACCAGTTTTTTCACTAAATATAGTTCAATAAAGTTTTGTTTTTTGCACGAACGTAGAAAAACAAAATTAGGGCGTCATTTTATAACTTTATAAAAAAAAACAAATATCAAATTATTATATATTAATAATTTAAAAAAAATATTATATACTGTGCCTACGTAATTTTTTATTATTAGTTTTCTCAAAAAAATGTATTATAAAAAGTTTTGCATAGTCTAAATGCTAAAATTAAACGCTGTTGCTAGGTACACGCTAAAGTGTACATAAATCAAAAAATTATAAACACGCGAAACGTCATATTGCTGTGGTGGGAGGTGTTTGTGTGAATGCGTGTTGTTTGTTTTCATTTACGCCGTGACTAGCAGCTAACAGTAGTATTTTATAAACAGAAGCAAATTTCACATACATCAACAAATAATAATAATGCCGTGACAACAAGAAAACGAAGCAACAAATTGTCGTAAGGTGGCGGCGAAGCCGCCACCAGAAAATTTCAATCCATACCTAGCTACGCCGACCGGCATGGACACAGCTCACCTACTCTGTCAAGACGTTTTGCGTGTATATAACTTTTTGAATTGCGTACAAGTTAGCGTGTACCTAGACACTGTGAAAATTAAACCTTCATAAATTACATTTTTTAAGCCGTATACGAGGTGTGTCAAAAAATATAAATTTTGTTCAAAAGTAAGGTACCTTTATTTTTGAAAATTCTCGTATACAACTCATAAAATTCTTTTATGAAAAACAAATGGTTACAACCGGTTCAGTTGTGAATCGCGTCACTTCTGATCTTCCACCAGTGGACCAGTGCCAGAGTGATAAAAATAAAGGAAAAAAAGGAAAGAGACAGAAGTTTGTTAAAGGAAGAGATAGAAAATACCTTGCTCGCAACATATCCCCCTGCTTATTGAAACAAAATGAAAAGAACAGTAATCATAAATCATTTATAATGATTGGGAAAAAGCATTAGTTTTGACACTCTAGTGGAAGATAATAATTAATTATATGCAAAAGCCCAAGCGTATGAAAAGAAAAAAAAATTAAAAAAAATTTAAAAAAATCCTATTCTACCAGTTATTTAAATAAATTTAAATAAAAAGAGCAAAACAGTTAAGTTTAGCGATCATAATATAAAATTTAATAAATAAATAAATTTATAGTTTATATACCAAAAATGAAAACAAAAAATTTTATTTTATATTTTATTTTTCTTTCTCTTTTTACGATGGTGAAAATGACATTAACTTAAACTGTATTAAGTACTTTAGCTTACAAGGAAGTGATATTGTATTTTGTAAAATATCTCAATAACAATTTGGAGGGGAGAAAATCAAAATTTAATAACCCTGGTATTTATCAAACAACAAAAAACAAATAAATAACTACAGATTGATCTCATTATTTAGATATTTTCTAATGCTATAGAAAATATTTTGTTATCAATATAAGAACAATATTTGTTGCCTGCGAACTATTAACTACTCAAATTTTCAAAATATGACATAACCTTCAGTTAGAGGGTGGTATTTTACTTTTTAAAAACACACCATTGCGACAACATACATTTTCTTTGGAAAATTTTGAAATTGAACGTGAGTTAGCGGCACATGGATAAAAGAGTTATTCTTCATTAAAAGTTTTTCATGACTAAATGCAATCATCTGATATCAAATGTTATCAGTCGTATACGAGGTTTGTCAAAAATAAAGGTCGTTTACTCTTGAGCACCTCGTATACGGCTCAAAAAATTTAATACGGTGGTTGAATTTCAGGTTTTAGACTAAACTTAACTTTTTATAAAGAACACATTTTTTTGATAAAACTAATAAAAAAAGTGTTCCATATTATGTAGCCAATTTACGTATAGACACACTGTATACATAAAAAAGATGCATTGAATTCGTTAAATTGGTTTATACTAAACACACCCATTAAGTTGTCAGATCTATTAATCAAAGCTATAAATTTGAGTATTATCCTGAATAATCATACATACCTGTTTTATTTCCTTTTTGCTCTCCTTCGTTTGTTTCTTTATACATAAATTCTCGGCCGTTTCTTCTTCCGGAGACCCGAGTTTGGTAAGTCCTACGGAAAGATCTTGTGGTCCGCAGAGCTCACCGGATCTTCTCCTTGGCCTGGCCTGTTTTCGCCTGGGTATGGGTGACTGACATTCGGGTCGGGGTAGAAGGGTGTCTGGAAAGGATAATCGCGGCATATGGGGTAGTTTCACGGGGGATTCGAAGTTATTTTGAGCTGGAATAGGGGAAAAGGGGGACGTTTGATCTGTTGGTGTTTTGACCGCAACTCCTGTATTTAGAAACCTGAAAAAGAAACAAAAAATAATGAAGAAAACTTTTCCCATTTGGTTATGTGCAAACAATTTAATTAAAATACCTCTGAAGAATATTGTTCAGCAGCATGTATTGATTTAACAAAATTATTTGTTAAAGTGTGGAATAGTACTGGTCTTCTTTATAAAATTACAAATACAAACTTGTTATATATAAAGAAGACCATTAGAATTTAGTTTATATTTTATATCAGTATTATAATTCAGAAAGCTTATGCCAAGAAGAACATACCTAGTGATGTACTGAGGCTAGCTAGATCGCAGTTATTTATTAATATGATGTTATGAGGCGAAAAAGGCTACATGGTTCTGACCTGTATCTAATGATTTACTTATATTACAGCCAGGGGCGGTTTCTCCATTGGTTCATTTGTGCATTTGTGTTCATAAAAACACATTATTTTAAAACAAATAACAAAAATATATAATCAATTTTAATAATTTTACTGTTTTCATACAAGGGAGTGAGATGCTTTCGCGAAAGCCTCTAGCTAAAAAGAGATAACAACTCGCGAAACGAACAAAGACCTTCTTAAAATCACTAAAATCACCTTATTTTGGAAAACGCAAACAGTAACGTCACATAGTAGGGCGGAACATACAATCTTTCAAATCATAGATATAAAGATGCAATGACGGTACTAAAAGTGTCTGCACTTTTGCATTACCCTTTGATGACATATTATGTCAAACTCGAGCTAGTTAGTTTTGGTAATAATAAATGCTATTTTTTAAAATAGCGTGATTTAAATGATAAAACATTTTTATTCCGTCAATCTTCAAATATAAAATTATTATCTTAAAATTAATCAAAATATGACTCAAAGTGCCTCCACTTGTCATAACACAAAATAATGTTTATGTTACCTACTTCATATTCTATCTTCTCAACGTTTCCAACTTTCCAATTGTATTTACTAAAAATTAATAAAACTGCGACTTTAATAAATCGGAAGTATATGTGTCAATTCAACGATTGTTACCGAAAAACGTCTCAGGTGAATTTTTTTTTATTATTTTTGAGGTTATGTTTGTTTATTTCCAAATCACCGTTGCAATTATTTTGTTTTTTGTTCCAGGGTCTACAGAATAGTCATGTGTTTTATTCTCAACTATGCATTGAGCAAATTTGTTTTTGTTTCCTAAAAAGACAAACGAAGTTTCAAAAAAGTATGACAAATTTTATTATATATTTTATTAAACAAGGATAATTTCTTGACCGTAATACAATTTTATTTTGTAGGTTGTCCCTAATGAATTGGAAGTTATAGAAAAATGCCCTATCTATAAATGCTAGAGGTACTGATAAAAGGTATTAGACTGATGTAGTGCTAAGGATTTTATAAACTTACATTACAGTTTTTTTTAAATATAAATATTGCACTGGCCTAAATTAATTCAAGAAACTAAATAGTTCTGTCTATGTTAGGTATGAAAAATAGTAGGTAAAGTTTCATATAATAATATTTTTTACACAAAAATCAATTGCAAGCTTTCTACATAACCTGGCATATATTTAAAAATAATCTCAAAATATAAAGAAAAGTTAGTTGACTAACTAATAATGTTTCTAGATGGTTTTCAACGTATTAAAATCAAAACAAATATTACAATAACTAAAATATTCATTTGTTCATTAATTAATAGTTGTAGTGCTTGAAAACAGTATGATATTGATATTAATACCTACACTTGTACAATGTTTTGAATCAAACTTACAAATGATAAAATTATTGTAAAGAGTGAACACCCATTATAAATTACTACGAGTCACCACTGATCACAACCACCTAAAACTATGCAATAAATAAATAAAGATAATAAAGCAGTAAAAAGCGAAGGGTCAAGCGCCTATACTTTCTTAAGAATTGCTTGATATTTGGTAGGTAACTATTCCAATCCAATGTATTGATGAATTTTTTTTATTATTAAAAGATTTACACAACAGTCTTAATAAAATATGCTGTATTTGGTTTGTTTTTCCAAATTTATATTCACAAGGTATCCATATTAAACAAACGAATCAAGCACTTAACCTACATTTCTGAATAGTCAGAAAACACCATTTGTATTCACTAAAAAGAATCCGTCCCTTATTTCACTTTATAGGATGAAAATCCTCATATATACCTACCTACTCGGTTTTCTACTCACGAGTGAGTAAAAGGTTAAAACAGTTGACACGTCAAAGGCGAATCAACGTTGAATCCAAGTAAAGTGATATATTTGCGGTTTGTGAAGACATTTATTCTTGATAAAACAATTTTTCCCAAACCCTCATTACATGTCAAGTTAGTTTGGCATCTTAATTTGGCTTCACAAAAGACGTGTGTCTCAAAATTAGACGACACGTTTTTTAGTTCATGATATATTTATAGAGTGAATGGTGGGGAAATGCGTTTAAAACTTTAAAAAGAATTGTTATACCATTTGCTTTCACATTTTTCCTTTTCTGCATGTATACAGATAAGGAAAGAATATGATTCATGATTTTCTCAACCTCGAGTTTTCTACGGATTTTTACGTTTTTGAGTACCCTGAATCCGATTTAACCATTTTCGTAATGATGCCTGTATACTCGATAACTTATGAAAGAATAAACATAAAAACACCAAATTTTAAACTTAAGTTTTTAAAACACCAGAAGACGTTTTAGCAGCTAATTTTTAAAAAATAATTAAGAGCTCAAATTTCAGAATTATATTAAGAATAGTGCTCTTGAGGAATGCGTTTATTTTCATTATAAGTTTATATGTTAAAATTTAAAGCTCTTTAATTTTTTTTTCTCAGAAACTGAAAGGATTTAAAACTTTAAAATAAATGCATATTACCTAATTTATTTTGACAAAATTTTATTTTTTAACAAAATCACTTTTTGAAATATCCTTGTTCGAAAATTACAAGGGGTGATGTATGCTGTATTCACCTTGAGTGTCATTTAAATTTTTAGACCGGGGCTTGCGTAAAGTATATCATTTTGACATTAGAAATATCACTATATATGTCAAAATTATTCTAGCATAAGCTTGTGACTTTTTATGTTATTCATAGGTTCCCGGGCAACCTAAATATACTGGCTAAAATGAGAAATTATGATATCGGTTTTAAAAATACTAGAAATTACTTTGTGAATTGCTCAATTGACTCAGTTTAATTTTAAGTTGTGGTTGTTACCACTCGCAATTGACATTATTATTCATTACACCGGCACAAAAAAAAAGTTGTCAGTACTTTTGACGGGACCGGTATATTTTTATGTATTTCGACCCGCTGAATCCGAATCTGAGGTCCGTTTGACCAGTACACCGTCAAAGTTTCGAGAAAACTTTGAAAAACAGAAAAAAATGACGAAAATCGGCAGTTTTTTAAAGTTTTCTCAGAAATTTGACGGTATACGGGTCAAACGGACCTCAGATTCGGATTCAGCGGGTCGAAATACATAAAGATATACCGGTCCCGTCAAAAGTACTGACAATTTTTTTTGTGTGCCGGTGTTATTTATAACGTTGGTTCGGGTCCTTGTTTGTTACTTTAGTGCCTTATTTTTTTGACTGCTGCTTTTCTTGATGTCCGAAATAGTATTTTTTTCCTTATACTTTAGACTCGAGGATGTTATTTATATGTATATCTTTTATAAAGTTTGTTCTATGTTATCTTGTACTTAATTTAAGTTTATTTCCCTTCTAGGCCTGGTCATGACCAATTAAATTAACTAATTGTGTTCGGGATTAATTATGTGTTTGTATCTCATAATTATTACGTTATTTAATTCGAAATCTAGCTAGGCGCAGTCTCCTTCAAGTGGCATGGTTTATTAAAAAAATTTCATAACTCGAAAATGGCGATACCTGGCAAGAATTTTTTTATTGAAAAAATTTTAAACCCTCTGTGCTTATATACTTTGCTAAATGTATCCAAAAATTATGACACATAAAAAACTTTTTCGATTACTGAAGATTTCAGTACCTACATTTTTGTGTAAATTATATTTTATCGTTTATTTAAACACATTTACAATGTTTCTCAATACAATGAGTACTGTTAAAATCAATCTTCTTTTGTTTTTTAATAAAAAAAAGAGTCGGGAAAACAAAAAAAAATGTTGCTAAGCCCCATTTAGAATGTAAAAACGTTTACTTTACAAAATTTATGCGGTCTAATCTGGTTATATATATTTTAAGGCCGATTTTGCTCCACCGAAGATGAATTAATTAATTATATTTCTTTTAATGCGTTGCGACGCATTCAATACCAATTTTCCTCGTAATCACTATATTTAAAGATACGGGAAACAGTTTAATTGAAGAAATCGGTTCCAAAAGACATTTTATAGTATTTGGACTCCTTCCATCAAGAACAAATTTTATACCTCCGACCACACGGCTAAACTTTGTCTTTCTATCAGAAAGGTAAATCATCGTCTTAAAGTTTTTACACAAATTGAAGAAAGCAATTTTTTAGACACAACTAAATTCATCTGCACCGTTATTTAATTCTTCGAATTATTTTCTGAATCACCCTGTATTTAAAATAAAAGTTTTTCTTACCTATTATTACTGTAATAATTTCTATCGAAATCGCTTGGAGACGCGGAAGGTGTAGGAGTCTGATTGATAATAGAAGTCGATTCCTTATCGACTCCAAACGGATCTTGCGTTGCCAATCCTCTAACCTGTAAGCTCTCAGCCGCTTTGATCAAACTCTGTAGTTGCTCCTGGATCACGGAAATCTCCCCTTTGTACATAAAATCTACGATGGCCTGTACCTCCCAACCGTTGAAATCTTTCAGCACTATAACGGGGTGTTTGCATGGATTCTCTGAAAATATCCTTTCGAAAAACGGCGAGCAAGCACTGAGAACTACCTTGTGGGCCCGAACTGAAGTTTCTGCACATACTAGGGTTACGTCTACTAGGGTTTCGGCTTGTAGTAGTGCATCGAACGCCGCCAAAATGTGGGTTTGATGGTTGTTCCATCGCAGGGAGTAGTGGGACTGCGTCATTTTTTTGGTTTCGGTTGATTCTTGCATTGGTGTTATGCGACGGTCATTCTTTTTCGCTTTTTAAATTTTGAATTCCTGAAACAAAACAAGATATTAGTATAATATAAAAAAGTATGGGTTTATTTTGATTATTTTCAGTATTGAGTTAGATTTAAATTTTCTGCATTTTGCTATTTTCTTCGCCTTAAGATAGAAATCACATGATTTGTCGTTTTTGGCGTACTAGAAAACTGTCGCAAACTAATTTGAGCCGTCTTTGGTTAACTTGTCGTCCATTGCCTACTCTTTGGTGATAGCCAGGAACTGAGGCTTTGACCAGACAGGTAAGGAGGATGAATCTAGTTCCACTACCAGGAGAAAAATATTAAACAAAAATAGATAACAATGACGAGCTGTGCCTCGTCAACAGTCTACTGACTTCTTTAGTTATCTTTTACGACATACCTGTATCTATAGTTTTTTGTCCTGAATTGCTATTGACATTAATTTTCGATATTTAGCTCTGTCAGTTTTTCTAGGCAATCTATAAGATACCCTAATAATTCTTTTTCACAGTAATCTTATGTTTGCTTGGAACGAGCTCTTGTTTTATATAATAGGTACTATATACAAATATTTATCGATGAACACCAAATGAATTGGTGATAAGGATGAGTTTTGTAAAATTGAGTGCAACTATTTTCTGTCCTATAATTATTGTGTTGCTTGCTATTAATTATATTTTAAAATAAAATGTTTGCTCTATACCAGGCACCTCCATATTTAACTACAAAGCATTACATATGTTCATGCACTATTTGTAAAAAAATGTCTTTTTAAACTCTCTGCACATGCGATATTTTCACACAAATTGATAATCAACCGATGCTCTGTAGAGGTATTTGAAGATTTGATAACGAGCCTGAAATGGTGCTTGTCCCGGAATCAGCACATCAAATTTCCGTCTAGGAATCTCGACAGTCAATGTCGTCATGGGCTAGCGTGTACAAAACAAAGACTTTTGCAGCGACAGGATTTTTGAAATTTCCAAGTATGTGTTTTCACCTTTGGGGTTCAAGTATGGTCTTAATAATTCGGGGATTTTTGAGATTTTTTTCGAATTTAAAAATTATTTCGGATAATTATGACCTTTTGGATTTCGATTTGGGATCTAAGATATATTAAATTCACAATTTCAATTATTACCAGTTTAAAATATATACAGGGTGTCCGAAAATTGCGTGTACATTGAGCTACTACCGATTTATGGCTTAAAATAAGTTACCTATATTATATTAACTTGTATCGTTTCAGTGCTAGGCGTTAACAAAGTTAACTAAAACATCTGTTGTATTTTTGTTCTGCAGGATTAAACCATTTTAAAAAATCAAACTTAGTATAACTGCGAGGGGTTTTAAAAGTAGCAAGAACAATTTTTCTAATACGATTATTAGCGTTAACGGACATTTTCCCTAATTTTTTATCTGTCACTTTTTGACCTTCCTGGAATTCAAATAGAAAACTATACCCAGTTAACAACTATTTTTAGTTTACGCTGAACGATTTATAGACAGTGCGTCTAAATATACGTTTACGTTTATTTAAGTTAAATTCGTATAAATTTATGTTTTTCGTTATTAATTCTCTTTTAAATTTCGTCTTGGTTAATTTAATACTTGACGTTTTTTAACGAATAAATTAAACGTTGTTTGTTTTTGTAGATACTAGTTATTATATATTATACTACGTTTAAATATAATTTATCTTATACGCATATTTTCAGTTTGCGATGAACTAGTAGACATTAGTAAATATTATGTATATATTTAGGTTTATTTCAATTAAAAGCAATTGGAATATTTAATATATTATATCACCTATAACATTTATGATAAATTCCCCATACACACATAACTACTTGATAAGGCAGATGGAGGATGGCATACCGTCTTTTCTTATGTCTACTCTTGCGTATGTGAATTGCGTAGTGTAGTGATCTGTGTTATAAGTAGTATTGTTGTGTAGGTCGTTTATCCATATATCTATATTTATTTGTGTACACTAGAGATATTGATTAAAGGCATAGGTAAGTTTCTGATAGTTTAATTTTTTAAATTCCTTACATAATTCGTGCATTTTACAACTAGTGTTTTATAGGTAAGATGCTTACAGAAACTCTAAAATTGTAACGTTACGACGGTTATATTTGTTTTCTTTTAACAGCGATATGCCCTTTACATTAAAACTGTCCTATTGCAGAAGCTATAAGGCAAGCCTATAGGAATGATGGTACACCAAGCGATTTGACAAACTGAACCATTAAATGTGGCATACACTACTAACCTAAATATAGCTTAGGCGCGTCTAGGACAACACATCAAAGTGATGACTTGAGATTTTTGTTTTGATATATTTTTGTTTGTTTGATTGTTAAAGTTTATCATTCAGATTTTATTGTTTATTTTTTTAAATAAAATATTTTTAAAATACGAGTCATACCTATGAATATACGTTTCTAGCGAAGACATTTTCACTTATATATTGGGCAGTATATTAATGGTATTTATACTTATAACGTATCGCGTAAAAAACGTCTTTTATACGTAAAAATATACTACAACTATAAATATAATATAGACGTATAGTAAACACGGTTGGTAGTAATCGACATTTATATACGACAAATAATATATATTCATGGCGCAGACATTTTCACGAGTACATCAACCGTATCCATACGTGTGGTAATACCAAAAAAGACCTCATTTATATCAAAGTGTGTAGCCTGGGTATTGAAACAATTTAAAAACGGTTACCATGTATTAGGGTTACATTTATACATGTAGAGTTCTGTATGCTACATATAAAAATTATTATCATAGTGTTAAGCACAGTTATACGAAATGTTCATTCAAATCGAATAAAGTAACTTCTCTCTGTCAAAAAGTGACAGATAAAATAAGGGAATGTGCCCGTTGCTCTTCCCGTAGTGAGACGCATATGATTGCAATAGAAAAATTGTTCCTGTTGCTTTTAATTGGCCACAAAACACCTTGTATTCGTCCTAAGTTTGATCTTTTAAAATAACTGAATTCTGGAGATTAGAGAACAAATAGGGATATTTTTATTTAAATTTGTTAACCTTTAACGGCCAAACGAAGCAAGTTGGTATATAGGTACATAAGTTAAGGTAAATCAACTTATTTTGAGCCCATAAATCTATAGTAGCTGCATTTACGCGGAATTTCCGGGTACCCAGCCTATTCAGTAGCAGTAGTTGTTCATTTTTGCTAGCTAACCCAGAAGCATACCTATTGGTCTACACGGGATCTAATATTTTATACTAGAGAAATTTAAGTGAAACCAATGAATTCCAGAACATTGATTATCAATTATTATAAGGTAACAAAACTCTGTTGTATTATTTGTTCCTTGAAGTATATTTCTAACCTTTACTTTATTATTTTCAACATTCATAGGACCAGAAGCATTTCTTAGCATTATTGAGTGCTAAAGGAGTTATTTCTAACTAGACAGAAGGTAAAACACTTCTGTTCTGAAGAGATATTATTCCAGATTTATTCCAAGAGAGACATCTATACCCAACTCTTCAATAAACCCTTAAATTTTGGAATGTAGTAGGATTAATCCACACAAGAAGACAATTTGCAACAAACAACGGATTCTTGGTTCTGCAGAGCACATATTATGTATATCAACACCGCTTTAAAAATAATTAACTTCCAGATATTCGGATTGGTCCAATTGGATCCTACTGAATTTTAAAAATTTTCACCAAACTCAACCCTGATCTTCATTAGGGAATTTGAATAACACAGATAATTATAATTTATATGAACCACAGTACGTTTCAGTGGAAAGAGTCATTATTGTCCAACTCATATAAAACAAACCTAATTTACTACGAAGTATATTTACGTACTGAAACAACATGTCATTGTATGGCAAAACAAATACATAACTAAATTAAGCTAAAAAAAATAAGTTTAAAATTAAAAATAAAGTAAGTTGCTTCTATAAACCAAATGAGACTGCTAAGAACATTTAAATAAAATTACCAAGCGTTTTTGACTTTATAAAGCCATCATCACAGTCTTCGTCCGGTAGATACCTTTACAAAAAAAAAATGAATAAAATAAGGATAGTTTATAGTCAAATTAATATTATATATTTAACCAAATTTTAATATAATTTATTTTCCGTTAATCGGTTAAAATAAAAATTATCTCAAAAACGATATAATCAATCATGTAGTAAATTTTCTCAAATACACTGTTCAATTTCGTTTCTGCTTCGCCATGGATATATTCTAACGATTCACTTGTTTTTCTTCGGTTGTCAACATAAATAACACACTTTAAACAGAATTTTCATGCTACACATAAAAATCATAAAAGCGTAAAATCTGCTTCAATATTTTAAAAATATATTGCAGGAATTTATAGTTCTCACGATAACTTCTTATTAAACCGTTAAATTTATATAAACTGGGTTTTAAAATAATCAATATTGACTATTGTTATACAGTATGGTTCAAATGAAAGGAATAAATTCATTATAATGGAAGTAGCTGGTTTTTCGAAAAAATGCTCGGACAGGTCAATTTTGTTTACTTAAAGCGCAATTTTTTAAATAAAATTCAATTTTCCCCCACTTCCCATTTTTGGGCAGTGACGTCATTGGCAATTTTTTTAAATAGCAACCTCAATTTTTTTTTTCTTGATTTTGATAGATCTTACAATTTCCTACTCGGAAACATAATATTTGAAATATCTGACATAACATTTTTTTTTGAAAGAAAGTCATTTCAAGATCAGATACATAAATTTTATGTTATTTTGAAACACAATAAATTAATAAAAGATAATTATTTGTAATTAAATGCTTAATCTAACAAAATAATAATAAAAATAATAATAATAAAAAGAATTTGTGAAATTGTCCTTAAATTCGTTTCATTATTATTATTATTATTTTTTTAAATTAAGCACTTAATTACAAATAATTATCTTTTACTAATTTATTGTGTTTCAAAATAACATAAAATTTATGTATCTGATCTTGAAATGACTTTTTTTCAAAAAAAATTGTTATGTCAGATATTTCAAATATTACGTTTCCGAGTAGGAAATTGCAAGATCTATCAAAATCAAGAAAAAAAAATTGGGGTTGCTATTTAAAAAAATTGTCAATGACGTCACTGCCCAAAAATGGGAAGTGGGGGAAAATTGAATTTTATTTAAAAAATTGCGCTTTAAGTAAACAAAATTGACCTGTCCGAGCATTTTTTCGAAAAACCAACTACTTCCATTATAATGAATGTATTCCTTTCATTTGAACCATACGGTATACATATAAACAGAAACAAAATTAGAAACAAACTCATTTTTTAATTATATTCTGTTGTATGATCTTATTAGAGAAAAGACTAAACCAAAAAGCTAATACTAAATTGATTAATGATTTTCATTTTTAACCGACTTTATGAAAAGGAGGAGGTTGGTTCTCAATTCGTCGGATTTTTCCACGTTAGAAGGTGGTTCTATATAAATTTATTCGGGATCTAATAGTTGGGTCCATGAGAAAATCATCAAACTCTTAAGTTTTTTATTTATGTTCAGCGATAATTATTTAGTCTTGTCCGATTTTTATGATTCTTTTATTGTTAGAAAGGGGGCACTAGTGATGGAATCCATAAGAAAATCAGCAAATTCAATTTGTAATGGCATCTGCACAATTTTGGAGTCGGTTTTCTATTATAAAAAAATAGCGTACTTGCGCAATAGTGTTCCGTACCGCAGTGGTTTTAAAATAGGTTGATAATTTACTTTAAAAGACAGGTGCTAATATAAACTTAACTATGTACCGGAATATAATCTTGATAATTCTCGTTCAATCTGTTAAGATCACAAGAATAATTGATAACTCTGGTATATTTTCTCATCCATGAACTTTTATTGTTAAAATATAATATACCTATTGTTTATATTAATAAATCTTACAAAAGTTACGCATTATATTCGATATTTTAATTTAATAATCTGTGAACAATTTTAACAAATCGGAGCATCATATTATATTTCATCTGAAAAAGTAGTGACGTTGCTACAGAAGTTATATGGTTGAACCGACTCCATCAGCAGATTGTGAAATTAGACAGCCTACCAAATATAATGGTTGATAATGAAGAGTCAATCAAATTGGCACAGAACACAGAACTTCATCGTCGTATAAAATATGCCAGAATCAGACATTTCTTTATTAGAAACCATTACTGGAAGGATTGGTCGATTCAGACCTTATTTAGACAAACAAATCGCAGAAGACAAGACTAAATAAACTTCGGAAAGCTATGGGACTCACAAAGTTATCCAATGAGGTAAGGTGTTAAGTTCATAAGAATACTTGATTATCCTGTATATTTTGGTATCCATGCACAAGTTCTTTTATTGTTAAAATATATAATGTTGCAAAAGTTGGAGACAGTTATTTCTAAGCGATTTTTCGAAAAATGTTAACGCAAACGAAAATATTATACATATTTGAAATCATGTTTCAAAGAGCTTTCATTTGATACCATTTGATACACGAAGGAATCAGAATTTAACTTCTTAATCCTTCTAGAATGGTGACAAGATTTGCGTGCTTTCATACTTATAAAAATTGAAGCCAGATTAATAAGTCCCACATTCATGTTAATTTCCTAGAGTAAGATAATAAAAACTCGAGAAAATGTTATTCAAGCCTTAACCTTTATAACATCCTTATTTGATTTTTAACATTCAGTATAATATTTAAGTACTTATAACACTTTTTTCCTCTTGAGACTTTGTACATTATAAAAATTTAATTCCTTTTATTTAATATCTCAAGCTGTTTTCGAGATATTGGCTAAAATAAAAAAATTTTGGTGGATGCGCCGTTTAGTCAGTAGGAAAAGGTCATTTTTTAAACATTTTACTACTAGTATATACTGAGTCGTTCTATATAAAAAAAAAAGAAATAGTTTATTGATGAGGATCTTAAGGGATTGGTATTAGGAGGAATAGAAAGAACTTATTGGGGAAGATAGTTCCAAAGTTTAGCTGCTCTAGGCATGACCATCGGTCCATACCTGTCGATTCTAGACGTTTAAAGCTTTTTTGTATACTGATGTAAAATATGAAGGCTCTGGCTCGTCTAAATAGTTGTGGAATGCAAATAAAAGAAAGTAAACGAGTAGAGATTGTGGAATTATCTGTAGAAACAAGGCAAACCACGTACTGCATGCCGATGGACGAGCGGAATGAGACTTTTAGTAAGATTGAAGGTGATTCTAAATATTTAATATATGAAGATAAAAATTTGGGCCACTACTTATAGAATTATTTCAAATTTCAATTGTGTACGTGAAATAGTCTGAGTACATATTTATTACTCTACATACTATGCCCGACAGAAAATCTAATAACAAAAATTAATCATTTAAAAAATTATTTTATTCCGATTCTTTTTTTTTAATAATCTGTCGAATTAAATAAATAAACTATTGTGTAACATTATATAAATACGCTGTAAAGAAAGATCCAAGATTTATATTTTATCCTTAGCTCACGATACTTTGTAATAATGTTAGAAGATATAAATATAACAATGGCAGAATTATCGGGTCACGATATATGTGCTTTTTATTCATTAACGATGATCACAACATTATCTGTATTGTAATAATTAAAATAAAATACAAAGAACGAACTGTGATGATATTAAAATGTCGAATAGTAAAACAGGTCAAATTAAGAAATAGTTTATGCTAAAATTATTAATTAATAGTTACTTGCTTCCCAATTATAAGAAATAAAATAAAAATCCAACATTTTTCCGAACTTTTTGATGTTCCAACAACTTTTGACATCTATATTCTGGAGATCTAAGGTTTACCTTTGTTACTTGTTAAGTTAATACGTAAAATTTTATAATGTAAAACTTGAATTCTTAATTTTCAAGATTTTTTATTTTTTTTTTTTTTTGTTTATTCAGACATTTCATGACTCTCTATCGTGGGTTATAAAATTTACTTTACGACTCTTTAAAAAGAAAGAGTGATTCTTCAGAAAGATAGCATCACCTTACTACAGGGTATTACACAAAGGTAGGTAATAAATATACCAGATATTCTGCAGGCAGAAATAGGTCAGTCAGACCTAACTTACCTATTTACAAAAGTGTTTACAAAATTATAACCTTTTAAAGTTACGGTGGCCATTTTGAGCATTTGTTAAATACATAATGTGTTTGTATATAGATAAATAAAGTACTAAAATTATAAATCATTTATGTATTTATTTTTGATAATATAAATCATTTGCAACTAGATATGAGAACGCTACCACAATTTGAAAAACATTAATTTTTCTAAAAAGCACTAAAGGGTGAAAAAGTACTAATAGCCAAAAAAGATTAATATCAACAAGAATAACCTATTTTAGAAGTGTACAAAAGTTAAGGTCTAGGAGATCACAACTACTATAGAATTTTTAGTATTTAATTCATCTTATCAGTAGACGGGAGTAAGGTAATTTATTCGTAGTACCTAAGTTGTACAACTGACTAGTATTTATCCTGTGGTCGCTTTAATTTTTAACCAAACTGGCTTATTACAATTATGTAAATTCACATGAAATAAATCATTGTTTTCTTACTAGTTCGTTTTTTTGTTCACCCCTACTTAATTAATTTTTGTCGAGCCAATAACAACGAATTTGTTAACTTCTTTTTCAAATTTATTAAACATACTTATTAATGTTATTTTATAACTGTCAAAACAGGTTATTTTTGACGTGAAGTCAGTTGACAGAACACAATAATACAGTGTCATGTTTTGGATGTCATTCAGATCTGGTTCCGATTGTCAGATAATGGAAACTTCACAATAGGCGATTTGATGTTTCACGTTGTTTCATAGTTGCAATTCACCGTACGAGAGGCGTTCGTTTTTAATTGTAGTTTTCTGATGTTCGGTGTGCGTTAGGCGATTTTTCACGATCTGGTTTTGTATTGATTTTTGTCAGAAGAGCAATTTTCAAATGTTGTTTTATTGTACATAGATATAGTTTGTTAGGTTAATCTCTCGTAAATGCTTCCTCAGATATTTGGAGTGAGGGTAGCCATATGTGAGTAGTAGGGATTAAGTGTAAAGGTTAAAGAAAAAGTCCTTTATTTCTCACAAAGTCAATTTATTGGCGACCGGTTTCGAAGTTGTCACTTCATCATCAGGCACACCTAAATGGAATATCAAGGAGTCAGTTGTAATAAAAACAATGATGAAGTGACAACTTCGAAACCGGTCGCCAATAAATTGACTTTGTGAGAAATAAAGGACTTTTTCTTTAACCTTTACACTTAATTCCTCAGATATATTGGTAAATGATCGGGTGGATTAATTTCTGAACACACTCGGCCTGTCATGTCAAACAGCAGACAAAACAATGTGGCGAGTTTTGTTGGTTAGGTTTTTTCGAGAGTTGGAAAAGCAATCCACATTATAATTGTCGGAGGAAAAATCTTAATTAATGTAACGTCTTTCCATGTACGGTTTTTTGTTAGATTTTTCTTCATTATAATTGTGAAAGTACGGGTATTTGGATTTTGGGAATTTAGGTGTTTTATAGATAATTTAACATCATGTCTTGATGACCCATTTCACACCCGCTAAGGGGTCTTATCGACATATAATTGTTAGAATGATTACTCTTTATAGATTTTGAGTTTGTAATACTGAAGTGGCGTTGCAGTTGGACTGTCATCTTCTTTTTTCAACCTTGGAAAGTTGCCAGTTGAACCCTTTGCAGGAAAGGCACGTTTTAAGTTTATATTTTCTAATATTGTGCAGCTATTGATTGTTGATTTCTTTTGTTGTTGCTTGGTGTATCATAATTTTAATTATTTGAGTGCGTAATACTGTTTATTACTCTTGGTGAGTCAGTGTAGTTTTTTCTTCGTTTATGAACAATCAGATTTTGTCCAATGAAAATATAAAATTCGCCCCAAATATCTTTCAAGATATTGACAAGGAATTGTTAAAGTTGGCGAGGAGAATAGCGAGAATTAACTAAGAACAAAATTTGGGAAAATAAACGATTTTTAGCAAAAAACGTAAACGATGGTGGGTACTTGTTGGCTACCTAATTACAATTAATTTCGGAGCTAGATTTGTACATGACCTATACAACTTCAGTGGCGTACGTCTGATATAATATGCATTTTCCAAATTTATTTACTCATTTAATTATAGGTATTTTTTTTACTACCACTTTTGTAAAATGTTGGATGGTCTAAAGATTAATTATCTGTTTGAATAATATCCTACATAGATCCAAAACTATCCTATCGATTAACACTTTAATTCAGTACTCGGTTCAGCTACGCATACACAGAATTTTCTTTATTTAATTATATATTCAATGTCACTTTCGCCGGAAACTTCCAAGACTCAAAAAATTGCTGTTGCTTTGCTTCGTTGACGTAAATTCATAAAGAACATATCGATAATTGTCTATTTCCCTTAGATAGAATTTTATTAGAGACATTAAGTAACGATTCTGACTGCTTGAACGTTAAGTTATTTATACCTGTATTAATAATAAATAATTCTATTTGTCTCAGGTTGAAGATATTTGTTTGGAAGTCGTGTAAGTAGTTCAAAAGTTAAAACAAGTGCAATATATTAAAAGTTACTGGCTATAAAATGTTAGAGTTTAGCAATCCATATTTAAAAAACCCAAAAATTCGGAATTCTAGATAGTCACATCTATTTGTGGCATAAAAAATAGAGAACGGGAGATATTTGGTAACTAATATTATTTAGCAGATAATAAATTTGGAAAAAACTTTTTTTCGTATCAATTTGACATAATTATTAATAAACGAAAAATTGTAAAAAAATATGAACATTGTTTTATCACTATTTATTGTCATTGTTTATGGATAGATATTACGTATTATCAAAACTTGAAACCATTAGTTTAATTATGTAGTTATTGTTTCTAAAAAATTACAATTTTCTTATAACATATTGACAATATTATAAACAAAAAATAAATTACCAAAAAACTAATAATAAATGCATTGAATACAAAGGGAGAAATAAAGAAAAAAACAAGCGAGACACTCATTGATAATAAACGATTGTTGCGATTAATGTATATGTCTTTAAAATTGTTTTTTAACACCCTGTATTTGATTTACCTTGTTTTGTTTCTAAGATCTTATGGAAAAAATTTGTTTATTATACTTACTTTTCTAACAGCTATGTCTTAATCAAAAATAATAAAATGGTTAAATAATGTAAGGGAATATTAAGCACAGCAAGGAACAGTAGGAACAGTAGGAAATTTATTAGTTATATATTTTCATTTAAGTAGTTTTAGGAATATGAGTACTTTGAGTTACTTGTGTATTTACAAATCAATGAACCATTTACTGCAAATCCGTCTATTTCTGGTAGATATTCCCAACAAGTTGGTTTGGAGTTGGATTTCACGCTCAATTTGAATGATAATATATAGAAGAAATTAAATAAATTATATTTTACATTTATAACTCTGTTATACTAATTCCGATTGGGTCTCAAAGCTGATTTTCAAAGTTATGATTTATTATACCTTTTTTAAAAATTTATTTTTTATTTAATATTTTTTTTAATTTTTTTTTGTGTGACGCCATATACATATTTGGAATGTTGAAATTTTTACTATTAATAATGTTTATAGATGGTTTCCAACATATTAAACAAAACAAATATTACAATAACTAAAATAATCACCGAAGCACAAATGCCCTACCTCTAGGTCTAGACCATCACGCATTGACTGTACAGATTCCTAAACGGCACTTTGATGTGTTAATTCGGGCCAAGTCCCGTTTCAGGGTCGTTCTCAAATCTAAAATAATCACTCTTTAACATAACAAAATACCAATACTCCTATCTTCTTTAAAGTAAATCATATGTTTATGTTCACAATCCCCTATTATATGTGTTTGTATGTCTACATGTCGACATTTTTAAAGGGACAGGGTCACGTGTTCTGGACAGCGTGATTGTAGTAATGTAATAGCTTTATTACAATTGTAATGAAAAAACAACCCTGTTTCGCTTGGTCGGGTCACTCTAACTTTGATCCAACGTTGCCACATTTGGCATATTTCTATTATTCTAGTAGATTTCAGCTTTTTTGGTTAGTTTTAGTAGATATTTTACTAGCTGTACAATGTTCATCTGTAGTTTATAGTCTCCCATCTGACTGCACAAATTGACACGTCATGTTTTTTGCTTGCTATTTGTAGTTGGGAGGGGGTTGAATAACATGTACGATAGTGGGAGCTGTCGAAATGTAAAAGCGCAGTTAAATCTGTTATAAGGTTGGAGAATAAATTTGAACACTGAAAAATCACTATACTTGTAATTCACGTTTGGTGAATACACATAAAAACGAAAAACGAAGAATTGCAACTAATAGCTATTTGTGTGTTAATTGCGAAAAATGATACTTAACCGCTTGAGACAGAAAATTGAACGCGCTATGCATAACGGAGCGCGGCAATTTGTCGAAAGTGGCAACGAACTTTTCGCTTAAAATGCACACAAGATTTTTTCTACGATCACATTATTTTAAGAAATAGATATACAAATTGAAAATTTGTCGTAAGTAGTGTATAATGTTAAGTCAATCATGAAAAGCGGAGTTGATATTCAAAGTCAATGTTAAATTGGATAATAAAACAAAAAAAAAACACGTACAAATAACTTGAACATCATTTATTAAAAAGAAATATTATATCTAATTTAAATTAGGCAAGCAACAAAACCAATTATTGTCACTTTAAATCGAACTTCCAGTTAACGTTGTGAGATGTGGAGTGAATGAGTATGGCAATATGATACTCGAATGGTGATACAGTAAGACTTGAAGGCTGCAGTGGCGCTACCTCTGAGGCCTGGAAATAGCCTACAGCGATAGTAGAAATGTCCGAATAGCAGATAAAAACAACTATACAAAATCCAAGAAGAATAAAAAGATGCGGACCAGGTGACATAGTAGAATGAACTCTGGAATCAAGCCTTTTAGGTAATTGAGAATGGCAATTGGCGAACCAACTACAATAATTTATAATATATTTTAGGAAATATTTTTATTCAGTCATTAAAATTTATTAGCTTGATAAACTTTCACAGAGATTGAGATTGTGATCTATCTAAATGACATGACCTTCAAATTAAGTACAGTCTAAACATCTGTTACGTTTATAAGGCTCGTATAGTTTATGTTTCATGTAATCAGCTGTTAGTGATATATTTCTATGGCGTGAATGTGATTCTTCAAGTTTTTCAATTGATTCGCCATATGATTGAATTCATCTGATTTATATTGGACAATTTTCTTTCGTGGACAATTTCCATTAGTCTGAACAAATTACTGAAGGTATATAGAAAGAATACTGAAGGTATACATGGTTGATTTTAGTTGAGATATTGATAAAAAAATTAACTATATCCTCAAGATCTCGCCTGCATTTAAAAAGTAATGATAGCCATTATTTGGGTTATTATCTATTTTTTTATATATTGTTTTATTTCTTTATAAATAGTATATACTTAGGTTTAGGGATATTCAAACCATACGTAAATTAAACTCAAATATCCTATAGCAAGAGAATATAGTTCTTATCCAATACTCAATTTTGCATTACTCCAAATACAGTAAAAGAATGTTTTAAGTTGTTTATAAGATAATCTGTAATACCTACTAACATAAAATCAGCATAAATTCACAAATTGCAAATGATAAATCC